CTGGAGTTTTAACTCTGAAATTAAGTAAGTGATTATTTATCAATAGAGATGTTATTTTGAAGCCCGAAACAGCCACCCAGACACCCAAATACATCCGGATGTTTTTTATTTTATAGATTTATTTCTTTTCTAAAGAATTGATTGTTATCGAGTCTGAGAAATTTGGTGCGTTTTCACACGCTTTCAAAAGAAATAACGATGAAATTCATCGCCGATAATAATTGTCCTAGAATACACCTAGAATAAACAACATTACATATGTTTAATAAATACTGACTAACAATAGTGGTTCTGGAAGATACCTGGCATAATGTAATAGGCTTGCGTCTTGGCTAATTATTAAATGTTTTTCATTTTTATTCGAGACTGATCGATACATCTATGGTAGCCATTTTTTTCTGAATAAATGTTAATTGTCATTAATTGTAACGAAACAAAGATCAGATGATTTATGGGGAGCATTGACAAATGATTAATGTAATTAAAGGGACTCCACTGAGGTTTATTGACATGATGGGACTGAAAATATTTTTTTCCAGATAAATGTACCAATTGATGTATGCTTAGACCACTAATCTTTGTGCAAAATTTCAGATCATTCGCGCACTTTGTTTTTCCAGAATTATTATTCAAATTGTGAAAAAATGACCCAAAATGAAAAGCGTTTAAACACTTTTCACTCAAATTGGACTAAGAAAAGCATAAAAATACGATTCTCAATTTATTTCAAAGTATATTTACATTATATTTACCTATCTTTGCATATATTTCTGTTTAAAGTGCCACAGCTCATTTATGTAAGAAATTTAAATGTTATGATTTTAGGCTTTTAAACCTCAGTGGAGTCCCTTTAACAGCTTATAGTTAAATCTCTTAATATTAAATTACTACGGATGCATTTATAATGACAATGTATATTGACTCAACAGGTTTTTAGGTTATCTGCAACAAACTGAATGTCATAGTATCTCAGATTAGTGCAACTGAACTTATCTTTTTTAATTTTTGTTGATGCTTTCTTTCTTTCTTTCTTTCTGTCTGTCTCGTTCGTTCGTTCAATCATTTATTCATTCATTCATTGTAATATAGAAACACAGAACTTTATGGATATTTCAATTTTATAAATTTACAATACATCTTTACAAATTAATTCTTCAACTACATGAATTCGCAATATGCATTTCTTGCATTCCAAATTTCAATAGATCAAATTCATGAATACAGATTTTATTTAACTTAAAAAAAATCCAAAGTTACAAATTTGGACGTCCAGATCCCAAATTTGTAATTTTGGATTGTTTTAAGTTCAATGAAAATTAAAATATCCATACAGTAGACGAAATCCAATTTTGTGAATATATGTTTTGAACTTCAAGAGTCTTACTTCAAAAAATTCTTGATTTCAACTCATGAATAAATAAAGTAGAAATCGAGAATTCATTTAGCTAAAATTCACGAATGTATGGAGAAGTTTAAATTGCATAAATAAGAATTCATGAATTTCAACTTATGAATTCGTTAAGTTTAATTTAACATGAAGACAAAATTATGAAAACGTGATTTAGTGAAGTTAAAATCCTGAACACGTAACGTTTAAAATTGTAGTAAATTCATGAATATTAAACGTCCAATAAAGTCTTGTAATCTCCTGATATCGTTCACAGAGAACTATTTTGAATTTCATACCCCAAATTTGTTACTGTGGTAATAAAGAAAAAACATTACGTCTATAAAACACAAACAAAACTGTAGTTGCATTGTTTATAGTTAACTACTTGTCAACAAAAATATGTGAATAGACACACCTTTCTGTTTAATATTCCATTAATATAAAATTTCTAAGATCCGGAACATACTATATTTGGCACTGAAACTGTTAATGAAGGTGAAGTACGAATTGTGTTTAAGTGCGAATTAGAAAACATTTTGCGAAACATTCACTTCGCTTATGAAATGGACATCTGTTTGCATAATATTTTATACCTTTTCAACGTGATCATTAAATTCCGAGAAACATATGACATAAAAATTGAACTTTTTCACGTTACAAATTTTATATTCCATCTTGTATTCATATTTCTTACTTGAAAATCATATATCTGACCTCTATAAAGTGGAGTTTTCACCAACGAAATGGGCATTCTGCTTTTCTTATATAATTATGTAGCTATTTAATGCATCATAACTATATTGGTCTTGTGATTCGTTTTGACATTCAGGATATTCCTTTTCTTTAATTCTAAATCATTACACATTATCTAATGTACATAGTTATATTGCAAGGGCTGTTAATAGTATACAACACAATCATACTAAAGTTAACTAAAGAAAACAGTGTCCGGCAATCACAAATTGAAAACTCTCTTCAAATCACAAACAAAAATACGAATTTAGTGTTGACTTGTATAAATAAAGGAACATTATCACTCAGAAATTTTTTCCCTATCTTTAGAAAGGGCGAACATGAGTTTTAAAATGTTAAAATAATGGTTCGAGTATATCACTGAATGAGAAATTATTTGTCATAAAAGAAGCAAAATGTAAAGTAATATTTTGACTTCTATACAAAATACCAAATCACTATAACAGTTACTATACTAATAAGAAAAACAAGAGATTCAAAAGTTGTTTCAGGTATTGACCAGTGAGTAGAATTCTGAAAAAAACTATAACAGGACACCGCAAATAAAACGTTTTTGAGAAATAAAAGTCAGTTCTGATTCCAAGAACTGTACTCATCTCAGCCCTTCTGGACATAAGGGGACAAAGAGGCTTTAACGAGTGTACTGATGCATGCAGTTTTGATAATGTGTCTTTTTTTTTGCCAATCAAAGTCATTTTCACTTGACATATATATATATATTTATTTATATATATAATGATATAATGATGCGCATCCGAACGACAAACAGTGATGTTATCAAGCGATAAAATCACCGATTTGGATATATTATTTCGATTCTAACACGACATCAACAAATAAATGCTGCCATACCTGATATTAAGCAAATTTGCGCCTGATTTTTTCCGTACTCATTTTAAGCGCGTCGGATTCTTTTAGTGGTTACGTCAAATATATAATGTTTACGTCACATATCTAAATAAAGAACGTCAACTGTGACTCTATTGCATAATAGCACACACTTTCAGTTCTTCTATATTCAATAATGAAAAATTCGGGTCGTTTTAGAATACGGAATAATAGGTAAAGAATTACAAGCACAATAAATATTATTATAAACAAAATAAAAGGTAGTATAAAAATACATTATGAATTTTACCGTGTCATTTTGTGCACTTAAGGGTCATATTGAAGTGTACTAGATGTGTACATATTGTATACTGGAGGTTCACATTGAAGTAAACTAGAGGTGCACACCGAGTACAAATTAATGTTAACTAAATTGTACGCCATTCACTTTCCTTTTCACATTCTTTACTGTTGCAATTTTATTTTCATTGGTAGTTTTACAGAAATGTTTAATAATGTAGTCGTAGTGTTTTAACTATAAACATATGGCAGAGATCTTTAGATTCATGGTTATAAAATGATGTATACGTCTATGTGAATAAAGCAGTCTGACAACTAAAGCATTTTGGTATAATGCGAGGCTATATTTATTTATTTTCTATTTTTGCAAGTAATGAATTTGTTACACGCTTTAGAGTGGTTGTTGGAGAAAATACAAAGTGTAGTTTTTATTAATATAAGTACGGAAATAATGTGAATTTCTTATAGATTTTGAGTGAAGCGTTAAAAGTCGCTTTTAAATTGGTCTTCAAAAAACTGGATTTAAAACGATGAATTCGGCTCAGACTCAGATCTTGAGGTCAGTTCCCGTGCATAAGGTTGTGTGCACGACTACTTGTATCTCGGTGTCATTGGGCATCGGTCGTTCGAAATTAACTACATCCGCGTATGACGATGGGTCAAAGTCCGGAGCACTTGACAGTAAATTAGAATTTTCATCTGTACTTAAACATGTAACGATATCATCTCCAACCCACGGTTTATTATACTCAACATATTTGAAATTGGTGTCATGTGTAGTTTGGTTCCTGTTTAAAGGGGATTTGTGAACACCGGAAGTGACTTCATTAGACGTAGCGTGTGACGAAACATCTGTAGTAGTAGCCAGCCCTCCAACAGATTTAGCGTGAGTGGTATTCAGTTGATGCGAGCTTTGTACTCCCGTCATACTTGCAGTGGTCTCAACGCAAAATGACTGTAGCCCACAGGGCTCCGGATCTATTGTTTTAGAACTATGGTTCTCTTCGCATATGTTTAATTTAGAGACAGAGAGTAACTCATTAGAGTCTATAAAATCTTCAAGACCACATACACGATTATCAATGCTCTTTAGGCGTTCCTCAATATCTTTTGTACATTCACACGCTTTAGCTTTAAAATCTAATTCCAAGATACATTTTCGTACACTTTGGCCGCATTGCAAGACATCAATTTTAATACTATCCATACATGCCTTTACATAGTGCATTTGTCCTGTTCTTAATTTGTCACTAGCATGTAATGACTCTTTAAGCAGGTGAAATCCAGCTTGCAATGTTGACACGGTGTCCTTTAATAAAGCCATTTCGTTCGCGCACTGACACGAATCGGATCTACGATTCGATTCTGCGTTAACACGTGCAGGCCTAGGCTTTACAATGGAGGGACGATGTGGACGGGTTTAAGGTCGTCTTGGTGTCGACTCCTGAGCAGACACTGATACACGTTTACTCGTACTTATGAGCTCCTGAAGTGAAACAAAGGTCGGACTTGATTGGGCAACTCTTTTTACTCTTTCTACGACTTTTACTCCAAATCTTAATCAAGTGATGTAGAGCAGTCACTCGGAGTATACTCCAAACTCTCCACCGTATGGGCAGGGAACTTTGGAGTGTGACGTCACAAACCAACATGGCGGAAAGACGAACCATGTTTCAATGTGAAGACTGTAACATGTTTTTTCTGTCTATGGAGGTCTTTTGCAACCATCCATGTGTAGCTTCAGGTATATAATTTTATTCCTTAATTACCAAAATAAATTTAGAAGGTATTAGTTTCCTTTTAAGTCGCGAATTGATGCAACATTTCGACCGAGACTTTTCGATCCAAGACTTTTCGCCCTTAATAAAATATAAAGTTTATTACCAGAAAAAGCATTACATATTATTTTCCTTTTTTGAAACCAACATCATCTAACATTAAATTAATTACTATTTATCATTTAAAGAACATTATTTGACACCTCGGTAATAATAAACCTAAATATATACTGATATACTCCCAGCATCCTAGTCCAAATAATTGTCCGTTTCGGTTATCGTGTCATTTTCGTGACAGGTCGCTGCCCTTCACGTACAAGTAAGAAAGACAATTTTCTGTTTGGAAAATGCCCAATTAAAACCTGTTGGGAACTATTCCTGGTTGCAAGTATTAATTATTTGACCCTAATAGACAATAGGATGTACGTTTATATTCAATAGCAGGTATAAAAATGTAAAGTTTAACATTTCAAACATAAACTTTTAGCCATTTGTTTCATTTAAATCAACAAAATGCGTTACCGTAAACGGTGTCATTGTTAATTTTACCTCCTGTTATTTATGCTTGTCTCTATTATTTTAGGTATTAAATCAGCGATCTGGATTAAAAATTTCAATATTTTCAGGATTTATGTTGAGATAATTAACATTTTTATTTCTTAAAGTGAGTTTTAATGTCTTTTTAATAATTTCCACACAGTAAATTGCAACTCAATTCTTTGAAGAAGGCCTCTTTGAATGGTGATTTTCCTTGTAGATCTGTCTTACTTGTATTAGAGGGACGACAACTATAAAATATCTGTCTATAAAATGGGTCATCCCAGAAGCCGAACTAGTAAGGCTACCAGCCTTCCAGTAATTCAGTAGAAAATCCCTAGTATTAAATGTGGACTATTGACATGTTATTTTCTTGTTTCAGCATCAAGTGTTGTAACTGGTGTGAATCTTTCGCAAGATAGAACAGAGGAAGAAATTGATAGAGACATTAAGAAGCAAGAGGAAGAGGAAGAAAGTTGTAAATGGAGCCAGGCACCAACTTTACTGCTAATTGCTAGTTACAAAGAAAGACAGGACCGTATTGATACGGGACGTTTGAAAAAGAAGAAGGCATTTGAAGAAATTGCACAGGTTCTTAAAGAGCATCAGTATCCATTTACTGATGCACAGTGTACATCAAGGATGAAAACTCTAATACGACAGTACAAGACTGTTAAAGATAATAATAATACTTCAGGAAGCAAGCGTAAATCCTTCATATACGAGAATGAGTTGGACTCACTGTTCAAAGGGTCACCAAGCATCAGACCAGAATTTGTAATGAGTAGTGCTACTGCTACTCATATGTCACAGTCAGATGAAGATGGTGATGAATTGGATGATGGTGCAGTGACAAGAGCTGATAATTGTAAGAGAAAGACAGAACATATTGCAGATGAAAAAGGTATCAGTCCCAAAATAAGGAAAACACAAATTTCAGAAGTAATAGATTTCATGAAAATCAGTGCATGAAAAGAGGCGTGAAGAAAGAGAGAAAAAAAGGAGAAAAGACATGAAGATAAAATGAAAATGTTTCAAGAGCTGATCAATGTCTTAAAAAAAATTAAAGAATTTTTGCAGCTGTTATACTCCTCACATATAAAGCCCATGTAATCAAAAGCATAACATTATTCAAGCTATCTTATAGCACTACTACTATCACTTGAACCAGTATAGAAATTTCATTTACTTTTTAATCATTGTCTTGTTCAACAAGTGTGTAACATTTGATGCCAGGAATTTATTGACAACAGAGCAAATTCATAATGTGTCTATTTTAGTAATAGTTTAATTTAACAGCTTTAAAATTTCAGATGAAGATTTATGCAAAATCTGCATGGATCGTACAGTCAACACAGTGTTTGGAGATTGTGGTCACATGATATGTTGTATAACATGCTGTGAGATGTTGAATATCTGTCCAATATGTAGGAGAGAAAACAAATCCTGGATCAAGGTCTACAAAGCATAGTCTGGACTCATTCAACAGAGACTCCAAAAATGAGATTGTTTTCATAATTTGTTCTTTTTTGTGCCGGTTTAGCAAGCAGCTGTTTAAGGCAGTTTTACCATGTTCTTTCAAATGTGTGTTCAGTTTGATTTTATGTGCTTAAAATAGTACAGTTTAAACTATATGTTAGTTCACTTAGCAGTTGTCTCTGCCAGTTATACCATTTTCTTTTCAAATGTCTGTAAATTTTGATTACTTATTTTAGATCTAGAAAAATTGTATGATGTTGGAGCATTTAGTAGCATTTAGCAATTATATACTGTAGCAAGTAGCTTTCTCGACCAGTTCATACCATGTTCTTTCAAATAATGTGTTCAGTTTGTTTTTAGCTCACTTGCCACGAAGTGACAAGGTGAGCTTTTGTGATCGCCTGATGTCCGTCGACCATCCGTCAACAATTTCAAACAACTTCTTCTCCTGAAACACATGGCCAAAGTTAATGAAACTTGTCAGGAATGTTCCTTGCATGAAGAGAGAAAGTCATTACTTGCAGAACTCTGGTCGCCATGGCAACCAAAAGGAAAATTTTTAAAAATCTCCTTGTCAAAAACCACAAGGGCTAGAGCAATGAATTTTGGTTTATAGCATCATCTATAGTGGTCCTCTGTAAAAATTAATACAATTATGCTAGGGGTGTCAAAAATGACCACACCCCAGGGGTCAGTTGTTTTCTTTAAATGTATATTGTAAAACATTAAAATAACTTCTTGTTCATCAATTCTTTCTGAAATTTGGTCAGAATGTTTATTTTGATGAAATCTTGTTTGGGGTTGTATATGGGTTATCTTTGGTCAGATGAACAGGTGAGTGATATTGGACCATCATGGTCCTCTTAATTGAGCAGAAGTATGTCTGAGTATTGTGAACTTCAGTTCATTTTCTGTGATTCTTATGTTAACAATGGTAGAAAATAGCAAGAAATACCAGAGCACAGAACGATACCATACAAACATAAATTTGTTTTATGTTAACATAGTTTGATATTGTGTTCAGCTTTTCTTTTTGTTGATAAATATGTTTTGCTGCACCTTGTTATAACTTGTTGTTTAACAGATTTTTCAACTCTCTGCAAGTAGCAGTTGGATTTATGTTATATTCTTTTTGCAAGAAACATAATTGAGCCATATCATGGGAAAACCAACATAATGAGTATACAAATATGGATCTAGGCCAACCCGTGCATCTGCGCAATGTCGCAAAGTCTGATCAAGACCCATACTGCTTGCTTTTAACATCTGCAATACTGAATGGATATATACTTGCCACATAGCCATTTAATGTTGGTTTTTGCATGACATGTCTCATTACTAGTCATTAGTTTAAATTTCTTCTGCTGTTGTAATGATATTGTGCTTTGAAATAGACATGGAAATACTTTCTGCTTAATAACTTAGTTTGAGATATTCTAGTCAAACTTTACTAACAGACAGCTCACAATAAAAGAAGCATTTAGATTTATTATGGCATAATATTGGCCTTGTGAAGACCAAAGGCATATCTTAAAAGTGCAGTCTGGCATATCTGTGTAAAGTTCTTAAATTTTTCAATGCGTTGTGATATGATTTTAAGTTATTACATAAACAAAGTTATTGTTTTAGCAAATTAAGAAATATAGATTTAGCAGAATTATTCATTTGTTTCATTATCTATCTTACCTAAGCACAAAGTTTATGTGATTATGATCCTAAATTACATTTAGTTCATTGATTAACATCTAACTTTTGTGAACAAAATACTGCAGCATTGAATTTAAAGTGCAGTATGACTTTGTACAGGGATGTAAGGGTCTACAAGGTACTGATTTAGATAGGCACCATTTTTTTATCCCTATTTTAGCTCAGCTGCTCAATCACCCTTTTATTTCCACACAGAAACTTCACATTGGGTCATTGTCCTCAGAAATGATCTTTGATCTTAGATGAGCTTGGCCGTGACCTTTTGATCTAGTTTCAGATTTTAAGCAATAACTTATTGGATGAGTTCAGTTAGGGGCCAGACCAGCTATAGATCAATATGTTTAGAGTTATGGACCTTTGATTTGCAATATTTGTTTAAAATGTTAAAATAATCCAAAAGACCAAGACAATAGATAACGAGCATGTAGCATAGCCTAGTGGATCTCTGCCTAGTTTATTTAAATTGTAAACCATGGATGCTTGATCTCCTAGTGACGCATATAAAACATTCCATGTTATATTATAACATCATTTTATTTCATAAAAGTCCAGTTTTTTTAATAGTGTAGCTTACAGTACATTTAGTACAAAATAGCTTGAATTGCAGTATACAAAAGTGACATGGATTGGTACATTTTCAGCAACCATACTATCATGCCCTCAAGGGAGATGCTGACTAATACGATCTCGCTTAAGAATGCCCGCAGCATCATTGTCCAGAAACACAACGTGTCTGTTTTGCATCTGTCCCTGATTATCATTAAAATAATCGTCTAGTTCATCTGCTTGAAGTATACATATATTGTGCAATATGCAGCCTGAAATGCATACTTCCACAGCTGCTTGAACAGTGCACACATCAATGTTCTGCAAACGTCGAAAACGTCCTTTTAAAAGACCAAAAGATCTTTCAATAACTTGGCGTGTTGAAGAAAGACAGTAATTATAATGTTTTTGTCGGTCTGTCAGATGTCCATTATCTCGGACATCATGGGGTCATCAACCATTCCTTCAATGGAAACCCACCGTCTCCTATTAAGTGTCCACCCTGACATAAATGCTGTGCATTCTGAAACAAGTCTATGTTCTTTAACACCCTAGAGTCATGGCAACTCCCAGGCCATCCAGCAAAACAATGTGTAAACCTCATATCCTCTCTACATACACACTGGAGAACGATTGAATGGTAGCCTTTACGGTTTACGTAGGTTTGTGGATGCTCCTGAGGAGGTCTAATTTGTATATGGGTACTGTCTAAAGCTCCAATTACAAGTGGAAACTCCTTTTTCTCTCTGAATGCATTCATGACAGTTTGTTGATCTTGTCCATCTGGCCATTTTATATATTTAGACTTGAAATGTCTTAACAACATTTTACAAATCCTTCGACGAATGCGTAACACTGAGAACTCAGTCACATTAAATCGATCTCCGATTCTACATAGAGGCTCAAGACTGCCGATATACCAAAGAAATATCATCAGCTGGTTTTGAAGAGGTATGGCAGGTCGTCCAGATGGACGGGCAGTTTGGTACCTTGGCAATACTGTTCCAAGTTGTTGACAAATCACTTCAAATGTATCTCTTGTCATTCTAAAGAAACGCCTAAAGTCGTCTAAAGTTTAACGAGGAACCACTTCTTCAACATAATTTTCAACTTTTGCTTTTTTGCGACGAACTCTGAAAGAAACAAATAAAATCATATACAGCATTTGTGAATCAATTAACCATAAGAAACAATATATTTTAAGTTAATGCACTTAGTATTTAAAATTTGTAGATCAGGCAGTCTCTTAAGTATTTTTAATGTCAATAAAATCAGTCATCAATATTTCTTTAAAGATAATTATGGTCCTCAAGATTAAAATTTTGCCTTTCCTTTTTTTTCTTTTTTCCTTTACTTTTATCACAGGGGTCGAATTGTGTAAGCTTATTGAGGGGTCGAATTGTCTAGGGATTGATTTGTCTAATGGTAGAATTGTACGACACTCGTCTAAAAAGACTTTATGAAATATCACGTAATATCACGTACGTAGCGAGAGCAAGAAGATGTTGAATTTCATCATCTTCGTCTGACGAACTGCTGCTAGTCTAATCAAACAATGCTAAAGTAGTAGCAACTACAATATTTCTAACAGAAGTAGCCATCTTTTTACTCTCAATTTATTTGATTCGTTCCTTTTACTCGGAGTACTCCGTAGTACTCTGGGTTCAACGGAGTTTTTCGAATCAAGTCCGCCCAAAATCTTCACCTTGATGTATGGAAGTTAATGTGTGTATATCTCTCGCAAATTTGAGAGGCACAGGATCTCCCTGTTTAGTAAAAACTCTCCGTTTTAGCTCTCAATTTACATCGTATGGGAAGTCCTCAAATTCTCGCAATGCATCAAACAACAATTGCCTAATGTTCTCTAGATCTGCCTCACTCGACGCATAATGTCGTAAACCCCTTTGAACAAACATGTCTCTTGGTACCTCTGTGTACCACTGATTTAGAAGGTTGTATTCATTGAGATATGTCCCTCCGTCAGGCGTTTGATCGGAACCACTGTCTGCTGCGGATGCTGTTATTGGACTTAGGACAGGGATGGGAGTTAAACCATTTCTATCATTTATCGGCAACTTTACCTCTGTGTTATCCAGCATCACCGGTGTAAGTTCAACTAGTCCTGGTGAAATTTGTCCATCGGTAGCCAAAGCGCGTGAGGTGCAGTTAAAGAAAGTGGCTGTGTATTAATTGGATTTATTTGGTAAATAGTCGTTTGATTATCGACAAAGGATACATCTCTTACCGTACTATTGTGCGAAGTTTCATTGTTAAACGCCATGCTGCATAAAAGGCTTAACTGCTCTGTTCGACTTCTCAACAATGGTGAACAAAATAGTCACTATTGTTTTCACTATTTACGGCAATTACGTCAAAACCGTATAATTAACCACTAAATAAATTCTTCTATCACAAAGTGTCACTTTTCATAAGCACGTACATATAAAATTTATCACATCTATTCCGAATTTATCGTTTTAAATCCAGTTTTTTGAAGACCAATTTAAACGCGATTTTTCACGCCTTCACTCAAATTCTATAAGAAATTCACATTATTTCCGTACTTACATTAATAAAAAACTACACTTTGTATTTTCTCCAACAACTACTCTAAAGCGTGTAACAAATTCATTACTTGCAAAAGTAAAAAAATAAATAAATATAGCCTCGCATTATACCAAAATGTTTTAGTTGTCAGACTGCTTCATTCACATAGAGGCATAGCATCATTATATATAACCATGACTCTAAAGATCTCTGCCATATGTTGATAGTTAAAACACTACGACTACATTATTAAACATTTCTGTAAAACTACCATTGAAAATAAAATTGCAACAGTAAAGAATGTGAAAAGGAAAGTGAATGGCGTACAATTTAGTTAACATTAATTTGTACTCGGTGTGCACTGTATGTGCACCTTTAGTTTACTTCAATGTGCACCTCCAGTATACAATATGTACACATCTAGTACACTTCAATATGGCCCTTAAGTGCACAAAATGACACGGTAAAAATCATAATGTATTTTTATACTACCTTTTATTTTGTTTATAATAATATTTATTGTGCTTGTAATTCTTTACCTATTATTCCGTATTCTAAAACGACCCGAATTTTTCATTATTGAATATAGAAGAACCGAAAGTGTGTGCTATTATGCAATAGAGTCACAGTTGACGTTCTTTATTTAGATATGTGACGTAATCATTATAAATTTGACGTAGCCACTAAAAGAATCCGACGCGCTTAAAATAAGTACGGAAACAATTTTGTTCAGAACACATTTCTATAAACGTCGGTTTGATAAGTTAATTATTCAAATTCCACAAGGCCATATTGCCCGTGGGAATATATTAAATATAATATAACGTATTTACATTGTAAAGATAAATATGCAAACAAAATTATTAAAACTACAACGGATAAGGTTTACAATTAATTCTATGTTAAAACATCTTGGAACATTTGTACTAATAATATATTTCAAATGATATTTAAGGTTAACTTTAGTATGATTGTGGTGTATTCTATTAACAGCCCTCGCAATATAACTATGTACATTAGATAATGTGTAATGATTTAGAATTAAAGAAAAGGGATATCCTGAATGTCAAAACGAATCACAAGACCAATATAGTTATGATGCATTGAATAGCTACATAATTATATAAGATAAGCAGAATGCCCATTTCGTTGGTGAAAACTCCACTTTATAGAGGTCAGATACTATTATTTTCAAGTAAGAAATATGAATACAAGATGGAATATAAAATTTGTAACGTGAAAAAGTTCAATTTTTATGTCATATGTTTCTCGGAATTTAATGATCACGTTGAAAAGCTATGAAAATATTATGCAAACAGATGTCCATTTCATAAGCGAAGTGAATGTTTCGCAAAATGTTTTCTAATTCGCACTTAAACACAATTCGTACTTCACCTTCATTTTCAGTAAGAAAAACTAACAGTTTCAGTGCCAAATATAGTATGTTCCGGATCTTAGAAATTAATGGAATATTAAACAGAAAGGTGTGTCTATTCACATATTTTTGTTGACAAGTGGGTAACTATAAACAATGCAACTACAGTTTTGTTTCTGTTTTATAGACGTAATGTTTTTTCCTTTATTACCACAGTAACAAATTTGGGGTATGAAATTCAAAATAGTTCTCTGTGAACGATATCAGGAGATTACAAGACTTTATGGGACGTTTTATATTATAAAGTTACTACAATTTTAAACGTTACGTGTTCAGGATGTTAACTTCACTAAATCACGTTTTCATAATTTTGTCTTCATGTTAAGTTTAACTTAACGAATTCATAAGTTGAAATTCATGAATTCATATTTATGCAATTTAAACATCATACATTCGTGAATTTTAGCTAAATGAGATCTTGATTTCTACTTTATTTATTCATGAGTTGAAATCAGGAATTTTTTGAAGTAAGACTCCTGAAGTTCAAAACATATATTCACAAAATTGTATTTCGTCCACTGTATGGATATTTTAATTTTCATTGAACTGAAAAAAATCCAAAATTAGAAATTTGGGATCTGGACGTCCAAATTTGTAACTTTGGATTTATTTAAGTTAAATAAAATCTGTATTCATGAATTTGATCTATTGAAATTTGGAATGCAAGAAATACATATTGCGAATTCATGTAGTTGAAAAATTAATTTTAAAAGGTGTATTGTAAATTTATAAAATTGAAATATCCATAAAGTTCTGTGTTTCTATATTACAATGAATGAATGAATAAATGATTGAACGAACGAACGAGACAGACAGACAGAAAGAAAGAAAGCATCAACAAAAATTAAAAAAGATAAGTTCAGTTGCACTAATCTGAGATCTTATGACATTCAGTTTGTTGCAGATAACCTAAAAACCTGTTGAGTCAATATACATTGTCATTATAAATGCATCCGTAGTAATTTAATATTTAGAGATTTAATTATAAGCTGTTAATTACATTAATCATTTGTCAATGCTCCCCATAAATCATCTGATCTTTTTTTCGTTACAATTAATGACAATTAACATTTATTCAGAAAAAATTGGCTACCATAGATGTATCGATCAGTCTCGAATAAAAATGAAAAACATTTAATAATTAGCCAAGACGCAAGCCTATTACATTATGCCAGGTATCTTCCAGAACCACTATTGTTAGTCAGTATTTATTAAACATGTGTAATGTTGTGTATTCTAGGTGTATTCTAGGACAATTATTATCGGCGATGAATTTCATCGTTATTTCTTTTGAAAGCGTATGAAAACGCACCAAATTTCTCAGACACGATAACAATCAATTCTTTAGAAAAGAAATAAATCTGTAATAAATAAATTTGATAATTTACATTCAATTAAAATTATTCGAACATCCGGATGTATTTGGGTGTCTGGATGGCTGTTTCGGCTTCAAATGACATCTCTATTGATAAATAATCACTTACTTAATTTCAGAGTTAAAACTCCAGTGACGAGTATTCTTAACATCTTATACAGAATATCACAATGATGGCCAGTTATCGCCAGATAAAGGATTTCTTTACTAAATATAAATGGACACTGTTGATATTCGCTTGGAGCACATGTATTTATTTATTTATGTTTAATTTATTTATTGTTTGTTTGTCAGTTATGAGTTATTTTTGTTTTAAACTTTCAAACGATAAAACTTTATTTCGAATAACCCCACTGATGGTTGAGGGGGAGAGGGGTTGCCTATAAGAACTAGAGCCACCGTTTATCCTTGAAGAGGCACTAGATGGGTTCGAATTACTGGAGTTTATGCATGTCTTAGCTCCAGCATTAAATCATTAATATGTTAAAAGGTACATTTTTCTATTTATTTCTTATTATTATGTAATTTGTTTTATTTAAAGTTGTGTAATACCATTTTCTGTATAACACGGAAATAGTTCAACTTCTGTCATGGGCATAAGAATAATGTATTATTTATCTTTATCCAGTTATTGCTAATTATATTTATTCATTGTATTTATATCAATAAAAGAAAAACAATAATAGCA